ACAGCACATTTCTTACCACAAAGAAACTGCATTGTGCTAAAAAGCCCTCCAGAAGAGAGCAGATAATATCTTTTGGGATGGCGCCGTGTATTTTCCAAGAGTTGTCTCACTGGAGCAGCTATTACAAGAAACTAACCCAAACCCTCCTATTTGTAAGTTAGAAAGGAAAAGCACAACTCAAACTGGTATTTGGTTTAGGACTGAACAGTTCACACAGTGTTCAAGAAGCATTGTAGACAAAAGGAAGTTTTTTGCCAAACATTTGAGGGAGAAGAGAAAATCTCTGCTTTGCTGTCTGAATGCAGTTATAAACCAGGATGAGAAAATAGCCTGGCACTACTGCTCACAGTGGAATAAGCTGTGAGGCTCATTCTTCACAAGCACAGCTCAATTTGTCTTCATCCTGCCCAGTTTAGCGTCTATAGCATTACCCTGAAGACAAATTCCTTTCTTCGCAAGCCCTAGAATTCAAAGTGGCAGGATTGATGAGGGGAGATGGGCAATTTTGAGGCAAGGGATGCCTTTGAATGAACTTTTATACAGGATAATCATTAAATAGCTGGACTAAATACAAGCATCGCTGCTGCATGGAACAGATATGTATCTAAAGCTGAAGTCTGAGTAGTGAAGCAGAATTGACTGAGCTTCTTCTAGCATCTTTCCTCCCCTTCTCAAAAACCATCCCACTTCCACTGAAGCATAACAGGTTGTTGCTAGTTTAAAAACTAGTGATTGAAGAGGGTTTTTTTCATACAACTGGTGCTAAGCACTGTACTGAAGCAAGACAGATCTGATCTCACTTATATAACAGAAAAGAGCAGAGGTACTGCACAGAGACTTTCTGTAGCTGGAAAGAAAAAAAAAAAAAAAAAGGAAAGAAAAGGCACAATGTGCTTTAGGTCAGTTTTGCAATAGGTTACGTACCGAGCTTGTTGGCAGAAACTGATTCTGATTGCTTCAGCTGAAGGTATTTAAAGATTTTGTTTTGTTTTGTTTGCAAGGCACATAGAGATGGGTAAGAGCAGCTTCTTCTCTATCTCTAAGAGCATCTGCTACTCGGAAAGGGATGGAAAAGAAATTCAAAAGCAAAGTGTAGAGAATACGAGACCTGAGCAGATTACAAGACTCAGTAAAGATTCCTGTTGTTACCAACAGAAATACTCCACAGACCCAGCTAAGCAATCCATGCAAAACAGCAGAGAGCTGCAAGATTAAATTCTTCCACAGCCCCCTGTCTCCACTGGAAGATTTATAGGTCTGCAGATCAAAAGAGTGCAAGAACCGCTGCTATATCAAACGAAAGGTCTTAATATTTTTGTTACTGTCTCTTTTGTTACCTGCTTAGCTGAATCCTCTTTGCATAGTCTTGCAGTTTCCAGTCCTAGCGTAGGGATCTTTGGACTGTGGCAAGTGCCCAGTCTCCAAGTCCTGCTGCACCGTGTCTTGAAGAAATGACCTGGTCATGCCAAGGGGGCTGAGCATTGCCCCCCTAGCAGGCAGCCAGCAGACTAGCCACAGATTCCAGCTTTCAGACATCTGTATCACAACAGGGATCAAACTGGTATTGAACTTCAAACTAAGCAAAGAAATAATCCCTTAAAATGCAACTTTCCAGTGCTGCCGGCTAGAAATTGCCAACCAGTAATGACAGTTGGCAGCTCCAGTCTGAACTGAGGTTTTTTCCCCATTTAACTCTCCCATTCTCCCCAGTTCAGCCTGGGCAGTGGCACACAGAGGTCCCCACTGTTGCAAGACATAGCATTTTGCACAAAACCTTGGAACTCCCTCATGAACCACCTCTTCTGATTAAGGACAAATGTTGCTAGCAGGTAATATTTTACACTGAGGCAATTTTCAACTGCATACTTATGGTCTTCTCTGCCTGTCTCCACTCCAGCAAATGGGCACATTTTGGGCAGGGATTTTCCGTTCCAGCCTCCCACTTGTAGGAGTGAGAACCTTGCTTTGGGGCAAGCTACCAGAGTCTTGCCCCTCTCAGTCAGTCCCCCAGGAGATGCTACAACCTCAGGGTGAGGTTTCAGCAAAACAGTTCGGTCTATGCAGTTGCACCAGCAGAAAGAGACCTACCACTGTCGGAAAACCCCCTTGCTTTTCCCACCCATTTCAGGCCAGCTCTGCAAATCTTGCCAGAGTAAGGTTTCGAGTTCAAAATCTTGTTTACTTGAAACCTACCCAGGAACAAAAATCCTATTTTGTCACAAACCTTTACCTAAAATGTGAGGATGTTTTAAAGTGAGCCTGCAACCTCTCTTTAATAAATAATAGGACGCTGTGTGACAATGTCAAGAACGGTCTCGAGCACAGCATACAGGCATGTGTTGTAAAGCAGCAGAATGGCATTCAGGGAGTCAGCTGGTGACTGAACACAGGCACACAAGAAATCAAGACAAAAAGCTTTTTTTTTTAACAGCAGCAAGGCAAAATGTTTTGTGTTTCCTAGTTGACTACAAGTCCCCCTTCCTTCACACATGTGCCAAATGAATTATCACTGCTCAACAATAAATATAGCATGATTTGATAAACCTGTATGATCAAGAAGAAAAATTACAATTCCACAGGCATTTGCCTGACTTTCTCCTGTGCCCAACAGGGTCTTCAGTTTTGACGGTGAAAACTAAACTTTCATACACTTACACACCCGTGTGTATGCAGCCACAAAAAGTATCTAATACTAATAAATACACACCTTTATAGATACATATGAAAAATACCCCTTATGACAGATAACGGTAAGCCAGGCACTCATATTAAGCCACAGAACAGTTTATTGGATCTCCTCAAATTCTTTGTACAGTTTTGCCACTACAAGGAGACAAGACATGGGCATATTGCCTTTAATCTTTATTTCAGTCGTAAATCCAACTTAAAAGAACTGGTAACACATTTAATGGCATCTTCAATAAATAAAATGAGAAAGAAGTCTAGTCTTTGCACAGACACATTACAATCCACTCCAAATTCAATATTGCCAAAAAGTTGTTTTTTTTTTTTTCTGAAACCTTGCTCCAAAGGGTTTTTTGTTTCAGCACTTAAATACACAGAAGAAGTATATGATGAGAGAAAACAGATACTCTATTCTCAGCAGAACTTGTAAAACCCAGTAACTTCGAAACAAAAGAGAATTAAATCTCTCTAATTATATTACAGAATCTTGTCTGAAGTCGTTTTGGAAAAACCCTGATTCTAACCTTCATATCAAAACATGCAGTTTCTCTGGATCCTATCCTATGTCAGCATACTTATACAGTAAGAATTAAATTCCATTATTTCATTTTTTTTCTAAAAAAAAGAGGAAATGATGTCATAGAGCAAAAGCATTAGCCTCCTACACTCACAAAAGTAGTCATGGTCCGTATATTCTGCAGTAGTAAACAGCTATTTGTGCTCAGTCCCTCGCTGGAACTCCTCCCATACTGGTGAAAATAGTTTCCCCTTTGTACCTGTTCCCATCTCTTCCCTGGCCCAGCAGCCTCGAGAACCTCAGCGAGATGAGAATCCATGCAAATACCACTCTGCCTGCACAGAGCAGATTGCAGGATGACGACCAACACATCTGATTCTAATTAGAGGCTAGGCTTAATTTAAAGCTTTTCCTAAATAAAGTCATTGATAAAGAAAAGCTGAGCTCCCCAAACTTCCAAATTGCAGTTCCCTGCAATTCTGTTAGCATATCACAAACCAGTTACAGCGTCAGTTAGTGTAGGAAGAACCATTCTATTGGTAAAATTAGTTAAAAACCTAATCTTCAAGCCTTCTGGAGCCTTCCTCAGTGAAGGCTTAGGGCATGCAAGGAATGTCTGGCTGGGCCCCCACAGACCTATGCATACCATACAGGGGAGAGAAAAGGTTACTTCGAACAAAAGGCCGAATTACAGCACATCCGTGCAAACGGTTAAACCAGTTTGTTTCAAATATTTATGTGCTTATCCCAACTGCTGCTGATGACCAGACTTGGTTATTCAAGAGAATGTGATGAAGCAGGATCCAGTTCGTTCAAGGGAATGGAACTTTTTTGGGCAGGTATCTTCCCCCTTCAGCTGAACACATCGTAACAAAAGTGCAATAATTTACAATATTTTCAAACAAACAGCTATTAAAATTGTACAGTTTTAGGGAAACAAATTCACTAGTTTAACCATAAAAATATTTCCCCAGGTAACAAACCTTAAAGCATTCAGTAACATAGTACTTCAATAATAATAACAATAATAATAATACAGAAAATCCCTTCAACTTATTATAGAAGACAGAACTGTGAGACTACCTTGGTTACTGTACACTATTTAAGAGTTTTCCCATCTTGTGAAGACTGTATGCTGTAATTAAGAGCATAACTACCATTTAAAGTCAATGAGTATACAAATACTGACCTGACTTTTAAATCCTATGCTTAACTGTTGCAAATGAAGACAAGGTAAAGGCCAGGGCCATGTCATCCAGGCACCCAAGAAGTTCTAAGACAGTTTACATCCAGAGTCATAAGAAAGCACCGCTTACCATAAAGTACTTTGTATGTCTATTGCTGAACAGCATATTAAACAGTTTTGTGCCAACTGCTGGAACAGATTCTCATACTAACTGTAGCCTGACTTAGAAAATTCAGGTTTGGGGATAACAGGGAACTTCGTGACAAAATTATACTCTGCAAAAGTATCTGCTAAATTTGGTCCAAGCATCTGCAAAACTAACAAGGGCACACGGGTCCCTCATTGTTTAATGCTGCTGTTTAATTGATCCTTAAAAAAACCCATGTGCATAGCAATATAGAATCAGAAGGGCTGCCCATGGGAGGCACGGACCTGTGACACAATAAACAGTCTCTTCAGAGAGATGTTTTAACTGTGGTTTTGCGATGTGAATAACTGAACTTGTACTGATGGAGAACTCTGAAATTTGTATACTATAGCCACAAGAAATTATTACCTATTTTAAAAAAAAAACAAAAAAAACCAAAAAAAAACAAAAAACAAACAGATCCATTTGTTATTAACTGCTTTCCAATCATCATTAGATATGTGATAAACAATAAAAAATCTTTTAAAACAATTACAAAGAGTGGACTGCAGTAGCAGCTATTCAAGCAAGATTCAAGCACAAGTTTAAAAGAACTTTCAAGCTGGGAATTAACCTTCTTTGTCGAAAATTTGTACAACTTTTTCAAAAACCTAAAAAAGAGAAGAATACTCATTTTATGAAGTGTTGGTAAAAAAGTTACTTCACGTTACACAGACACAGTAATTGACAGGGCTCAATAAAAAAGTTTTTCTTAAAACATTCATTAATTCTTTAATAGTTAGATTGGCATCAGTTCTGGGAGACTGAGTCAGAAGAGCAAGACTGCTTCAGAAAAGCAACAGCTCATGGAAGTGAAAAAGACAAGAAATTGTTAAACACAAACACTGAAAATGTGTTTTGTCCAGCTCATGTTCAAGCAGAATTAATTGATTTCTTAAAGCTACTCTCAATCAGTTCTTCCAGAATCAAAGCAAGAGTTCCACGAGGTCCCCCAGTAACACACATCAGTGCTTAATTAGCACACTAACCACACATACATCTCAGAAGAGTGCCAAAAATGTACCCTGCCACTGTCATCCCCATGGCATTTTGCTTTATATACTTACTTCATCAACAGATTTAGAGGCATCCACTTTTCTGACTTTTCCCATTCTCTCATATAAATCTATTATAGGCTTTGTAGACTGCAGATATGTATGAATTCTAGGAGGAAGCACAGGGGGGGGGAAAAAACAACCAACATTACATAGTAAAAAGTAAACAGAAGGGAACTTAAAAAGATTTGAAGATAGTACCTCTTTTCCAGACTCTCCCGATTATCATCACTCCTACCACTGCTCTTGCCTCTCTCAAGACAGCGGCCAACGCAGATCTACAAAAAAAAACACCAAAAGAATGATCACAACCAAGAACACGAAGTGCTATCTTGAAAGCAGGAACAAAACAAAAATCCTGAAAGTCTAAATAGCCCTGAAACACAATATACTGTCCAGATCTGATGGATGTAACCAAAATTCATGTGGAAAGTTAGACTCTTCCAGAGAAGAAGTATGATAGCTTTACACTTCACTGGTTTATTAAAATAGGGTCTCTTAAGATGGGATTTGGGTCACAGTAAAAGCAACATCAAGCTCTATGGTTCAACTGGGCATCCAACTTGAGACATCTGAAGAAGGAAATTACCCGATTTTCAAGGATGTGACCAGACTTTCTGAAAAGCAGCATGTCAAATTAGGCTACTAATATATGCCTGCACTGAAAGAAACTCACTTGTACATTCTCCCAGGAACTTGGTAAGGCTACATACGAACTTATTGTAAGTTAAAATGTTCTTACTTGACATTGCTCTAACAAAGATTTACAAATTCAAATTAAGTAAAAACTGAAGAACTAACCATATTCAAAAGCTGCCCAATGAACTCAATCTTGAAACATAAAATTATCTAAGGAATGC